GAGCAATTAGTTACTAAAGTTTTAATTAGAAAAAATAAATAAAAATTTAATTTTTTAATTTAATTTTAACAAATAATTCCTAAAATCTTGAAGCAAAAATCCCAGTCTTAGGCTTAACACTGAACTTAATTATTCCCTAATTATTGGAGACTCACAAAATATGCAAATGATGTTTTGTATGCAGATATGCCATTAATTAAAAAGTCAAAAGCTGATTTTTTTAGGATAAGCTAAGCGAGAAGTCGAAAGCTAATGTCGAAAGCTAGGTCGAAAGCTAACAAGCTTTTTGGGGCTCTATTCTTAAACATACATATTTTATATTTTGGACCTCTCTTGCATTTTTGGATATGAGTCCATATTTTTTACAAATTTTTTCCAAAAAATTTTATAAAGAATTTGCGTTAATAGTTTGTAAATCCCCCCCCCCTTCTATTTTATCCTAGTTTTTTCTCAATTTTTAGCAAATTATAAATCATTCGAAAGAGCTCTTCGAGCTGAGTCGAATGACATTAAAAACATCCAAATCTGACTTAAGTGGACAAAGTTGTGAAACGCGGATTTAGCTTTATAATTTTTGTTAGAATCATAGATCTGGCCAATTTTGGTATCATTCGACCAACCGAATTTGCAAAATTTTCTCGTAAAAAATTACTTTAAGATTTTTGAAAACAAATTAATTAGTATAAATTACCGTATTTATTCTAATATAATGGCCGAAAGAATCGTAGATTAATTTCCCCAATTTAATGGCCCTTTTTTGGCGAAAAATATAGAATGGCTGTCTCTATTTGAAAGAATTCTTCAATTTAATGCCCCTTTTAACTACATTCTACCTAAATCCAATTTATTTCCTTAATTACCTAGTTAAATATTACTCTATTAGGAATGATCATAATATTTCTGAGTAAATCTGGAGTCATATAAGGGATATTAAAAAGGATATCAGGGCTTTGAGAGGATTATAAGTGATATTGATCTAGGTAAATTATCAATCGAAAAAGAAAGAGGATATACATATTTAGTTATTCGCTTGAGGTATTAAGGAGTTTATGGAATTGGAGAGATAATAAGGTTTCGGATGGATTCACAGATATCAGAGGATCTTAAGTAATATACCTATGTGGATTTTGAGGGATATTGATGGATCTGGGATCTGAAGGTTTACATCACTTATTTGTAATATAAATCATTTGGAGTTTGTTCCATGGGAGTTTTATTTTTCTTCTTCTTTTTTTCCTTTCTCTACATATAAAAAGCACACACGAATCTGATTAACATATTGATAAAGAATTATGACGATAGGTACCTAGCTCTGGTTTTAAGGACCAATGTCCATTATTGTGCTTGTGTATTGTAACTCTTGATGAATAGGCCCTCTATTAATTTAAAATATTCTGGTAATACAGTGAGCGTTTTGTAAATAGAAGTAATGGTCACATACAACGTTGTGAATGGAACTGTAATTTCAAAACATCGTACTCAAGACAGATTTAATTTGAACCATGTGTATTTTTTGAGAAATAAAAATGAAATGGTAAAAAAATAAAAAGGGAAGAGTCAACACAAGAGTACCCAATTGAGTGATGAACAAGTGGATTGATCAACCGAAAAGCATGATCAATAGAGACAGGATTTTTAGGCACGATAAAGTTAAAAATAGGCGCCTATATAGGCACTAACAAACTGCCAAAATAGGCACTAAAATCCGAAAAAAAGGCAAAATAGGCAGTATTTTTTCTAGATTTTCTGATTTAAATTGAATAAATTTTATCAAAAAAGATAAATCTAAGCAATAAAATGTTAAATAAATTAATTTCGATGATCAGAATTTCATATAAATTAATTTATATTAATATTTTTGTTTACGAAAATAATTTGATAAATTTTTCAGAAGAAAATTTTCCCCAAAAAGATTTTTTGACAAAAATTTTTTGAAAAAATTTTATATTTTACCAGAAAAAAATTTTTTAAACAGCAATTTTCTCAAAAAATGCGCAAAAATTCGCAAATTTTAGTAAAAATATGCAAAATAGGCTGAAAAAAGGCAAAATAGGGCATTTTCCCAGAAAAAGTTAAAATAGGCAATTTTAGGCAATGATAAAATTAGTTAGAAAACAGATTTCAGTAAAAAAACACCGGATTTGAACGTTTCAGCATCAGGCCTATCTAGGAAAAAAACAGGCATTTTGCCTAAAATCCTGTCTCTAATGATCAACACCTGGAAAGTGATCAAAAAGTAATCGAACAAATTATCTAGTATTTGAATCAAATTATCTAGCAGCTTTATAGCCTGGATTATAAATTTGAGGCAATTTCTTGAAGAATTCCAAGATGTTTTTGTTGACTTGAATAAATAAATATGGAAATTTGCCGTTAATACAATCTCATATAGATTAGCTAGAAATATGAATTTGTAATATGAATTTGTAAACAGTTTCACATAAAAGACAAAATTTTAAGTAGAGTAAATATTTGCGATAAGCAAATAGAAACCTTTTTAATTATGTCATCAATTATAAAATATAATGTAAAAGGTGATAAATAAATATTTTAATCGAAACTCACTTTCCCTCTGCAATCCTTTGTTTTTTCTTAAAATTTAATTGATAAGTATCGTTGGAAATTCGACAATGTTGCTGTTAAAAATATGGTTAACTAAAAAAAAACCGAATAAAAAAGTACAAATATTAACTTATTTACTGAAGACTGTTGAGCTGCAGCATCATATTTGATCTTTAATTCATTTTTCTGCAATGGTTGAATAATGTTATTTATCCCAGTGCTCAAGCTAAGAGATCCATCCAAAATGTTGATATAAAATTAGACATTTGTTGAATATAAGAAATTTCAAAATAAGATTGGAAATTCATAATATTTATAGCCTGGATTATAAAAATTCATTGAAGAATTCCAAGTTGTTTTTGTTGACTTGAATAAATATATATAAAGTTGCCGTTAATACCATCTCAGATACATAAGCTAAAAATATGAATTTTTAAATTAGAATAATTTTATTATCCACTAAAAATGTATTTAATGAGCTAAAATAAATAAGTTTTTAATTATGATAAATTTAGCACAGAAATGGCGTCAGTTTCACATAAAAGACTATTTTAAATAGAGTAAATATTTGAGACAAGCAAATAGAAACCTTTTTAATTATGTCATCAATTATAAAATATAATGTAAAAGGTGATAAATAAATATTTTAATCGAAACTCACTTTCCCTCTGCAATCCTTTGTTTTTTCTTTAAATTTAATGATAAGTATCGTTGGAAATTCGACAATGTTGCTGTTAAAAATATGGTTAACTAAAAAAAGCGAATAAAAAAGTACAAATATTAACTTATTTACTGAAGACTGTTGAGCTGCAGCATCATATTTGATTTTTAATTCATTTTTCTGCAATAGTTGAATAATGTTATTTATCACATTGCTCAAGCTTTGAGATCCATCCAAAATGTTGATATAAAATTAGACATTTGTTGAATATAAGAAATTTCAAAATAAGATTGGAAATTCATAATATTTATAGCCTGGATTATAAAAATTCATTGAAGAATTCCAAGTTGTTTTTGTTGACTTGAATAAATATATATAAATTTGCCGTTAATACCATCTCAAATACATAAGCTAAAAATATGAATTTTTAAATTAGAATAATTTTATTATCCACTAAAAATGTATTTAATGAGCTAAAATAAATAAGTTTTTAATTATGATAAATTTAGCACAGAAATGGCGTCAGTTTCACATAAAAGACAATATTTTAAATAGAGTAAATATTTGCGACAAGCAAATAGAAACCTTTTTAATTGTCATCAATTATAAAATATAATGTAAAAGGTGATAAATAAATATTTTAATCGAAACTCACTTTCCGTCTGCAATCCTTTGTTTTTTCTTAAAATTTAATTGATAAGTATCGTTGGAAATTCGACAATGTTGCTGTTAAAAATATGGTTAACTAAAACAAAAAGCAAATAAAAAATTACAAATATTAACTTATTTACTGAAGACTGTTGAGCTGCAGCATCATATTTGATTTTTAATTCATTTTTCTGCAATGGTTGAATAATGTTATTTATCCCAGTGCTCAAGCTAAGAGATCCATCCAAAATGTTGATATAAAATTAGACATTTGTTGAATATAAGAAATTTCAAAATAAGATTGGAAATTCATAACATTTATAGCCTGGATTATAAAACTTCATTGAAGAATTCCAAGTTGTTTTTGTTGACTTGAATAAATATATATAAATTTGCCGTTAAACCATCTCAAATACATTAACTAGAATGTTGAATTTGTAAATTAGACTAATTTTATTATCTACTAAAAATGTATTTAATGAGCTAAAATAAATAATTTTGCAATTTTGATAAATTTAGCACAAAAATAACGTCAATATATGATCGGAATACAAATAAGATCGGAAATACAAAATATTTATAGCTTGGATTATATTTTTGAGGCGATTCATTGAAGAATGACATATCCCTAGTTATTTGATGGTAAAAATAGTCTGGGTTGTACTGTTTTGATCAATATAGACAATAAGACATCATTAATAAATTTTAGTTGAAAAATAATGATTTTGCAGACTCATATGTACTTACAGACTGAAATGAACTGCTCCGTCTGGGGGAATTGTAGAATTTTGTTTGAAGATAGTATACAAAACGAGGAGACATAATTTTTTAAAACACTTAGCCAAAATTAATTCATATTTTCAAAATTTTTAAAATTAAAATTGTGTAGAAATGTGGTAATTTATTGCTCTCACAATCGTTTGATAATTTTTGCAGGTTTAAACTGCAATAAATTGTCCTTTTCCTGGTCAGTGTTGAACAGTCAACACTGAAATCGGAATTTTTGGGTTTTCCGTTATTCCCAGCTTTTTTAAATTTTCTTTTACCTTCTTTCCCTCCCTTTTTTTAAATTCTGCTTCCACAATTTTTTAATTTTTTAAGATATTTCTAGCGTTGGCAATTTTTTACAATGGGAAATGTTTGCAGTTGTTTAAAAAGAGAGGAGGATAATCAAGAAGCTGGAATAATCGAGAACATGGAAGAAGGAAATGTCGGCAATGAAATTTTGGAAGAAAATTTGGAGGACTTTCAGAATGAGGAAGTTTTGCAAGATGCTGTAAATTTGCCTGTTCCCGATTTTGAAGTTAATCAATTGGCGATTTATTTGGCAGCAATTGACGTTTATTTTTAAAAACATTTTTATTTTTATTCAATTTATTTATTAGAATCAGGATTTTGGAGCGCTTGATCCAACACCTGGCTTTTTTCCAATCTTTGGATATACCCCTGACGGTTTCTTTTTTTATTATAGTTTTAAATTTAAAATTTTCGAAAAATTTTAATAAGAGTAGTTCTAAATTTGTCGACAATTTCCAAAAGATTAATTTCAATTTTTTGGCATTTTCAGAAAACTTTTATTTAAATTATTAGATAATTTTTGAAAAATTCCTGATCCCTTTTTTATCTAAAATAAATTAAGGAGAAGGCTGCCTGCACTTAATTGTGACAAAAATTTTATATTACAAACCTGACGAAGCATTAGTCGGCAATTGCGATACAATGGTTAAAGACTCTTATATGATTGCTGAAGTTTTCATACGTACTCACTTAATTGAGCTGGGAATTGACTTCTCAAGAACTTGTCATTTTTTTGGCCATATTTATCCGGTTTCTTTTCTTAAATACTCTTTAAATTGTTTGAAAAATACCCGGATTAATTCCGATTTTAAATTGTTTGAAAATAACCCAAGAAAATATCCAAATCAAACCCAAAAAACTTGTCTTTTTGGACAATGGACTTCTAACCAAATTCCTTTAAAAATTTTATCCGTTTAGAGTGATGCTCCCAAGACTGGTTATTCTGCAGGATGTGCATTGGTGACATCCATGCTCTCCGCCATAAAAGAACGTGGAGTCTCACTGAGTATTTTTTATTTTTATACAATTTTTTACCCTCTTTATTGACGTATTTTTATCATGAGATTACAAGTCCCTTTTTTCCATTATCTGGGATTAAAGCTTCCTTAAAAATATATCCCTTTTTATCACTAGAAGTATTTAAACACTTTAAGATATTGGATTTTTTGGTGAGATAGGAGAAGACGGTAGAGTGATTGTGGTTGGAGGAGAAGCTGCTAAAATCAAAGCTGCGGTCCGGGCCAAAATTCATACCATAATTGCACCCAGGTTGATGCAAACGGCAATTGAACGAACCGACATCCTGTATAGAAGCCAAATTAATTTTATTTATATTGATTATTATACTGAAGCCTTACCCATTTTGTTTCCTGATTAAAATTTGTGGTTTTGATGTTATTTGTTTGAGGCTCAAAAATTTTTTATAAATAAATTATTTCTTTTTGCTTTAAATCATTCGAAGTATAGTCTTTTTTCTATTGCATTTTTCTATTAATATTCCAATTAAAAATTTTTTAACTGCTTAAAATACTCGTACAATTAAATATTTAAATCAATTTTCATCATCACCTGTTTGATGCTTCAAAAATTTTTGATCATTCAGCGGATTTAAAAGCAGGTTTTTTTTAATATTTTATCGGGGTTTTCCTATTAATCTTTAATTAGAAACTTAATCTGAATATTTTTTTGGAATACTTGGTTGGGAAAACTCATTTTTATTCCAATGAGAAATTTCAAACCCTCCTATTCTTTCAAATTATTATATCCAAAAGTCCGCAAATTTTGTCCGCAAGTTGTATATATACTTTTATGCGTCCAATTAAAAGAAAATTGGATTTTTCTTCGTGTTGTAAGTTTCGGGTCTGGTTCCAAAACATTTCTTCATTTTTAAAACCTACGCCCTCTGGGTCTGGGACCATTCCTTGCCCTATCCCTCGAAATACTAAAGGTTATAGCCAATTTTTAAAAATTTCAGAAAAACGATTTTAACTTTCAGAAATTTCGAGGGATAGGGCAAGGAATGATCCAGACACTGTGGGCGAAGGTCCCGAACCTGAAGAAATGTTTTGGAACCATACCCCAGCTTTGCAACACCAAGAAAAATCCAATTATTTTTTGTTTGAACGCATAAGTGTTGTGCCAAAATTTTTTTAAATGCCCGTATTGAAGACACGCGCTAAGATATGGATGACGTGTCTTAACGAATCTGTCCCTGACCTGTATTGACCCTATAAAAATTTTACTTTTCGAGAAAGTATATACAAAATTAATTTGCGGACAAAATTTTCGGACTTTTGGCATCGAATAATTAAAGTGAATCATATTTCTTTATTTTATCCAATAAATTTTAGTCATCTCATAATTGAACTACATCTTGGATAGCGTGTTTGATAAACTTTGCTAAGTATATTTTAATTTTTGGCCATATAAAAAAAAATTTTCCATTCAGCCTGGTGATTTTGCATGTTTGTTAATTTTGTTATCTGAGGCTTCGATGGTTTTTTTTAATTCTCAAATTCTTAGAAACTCTTACAAAGTAAATTAACAATAAATTATTTTTTATTTTCCAATATAAAAATTTTTTTGGTCCTACTTGGCTTTATGAGTCCAATCAAACTTTATGAGTCCAACCAAAAAATAATTGGATTTTTCTTGGTATTTCAATTTTGGGGTATGGTTCCAAAACAGTTCTTCAGGTTCGGACCCCACGCCCACTGGGTCTGGGACCATTCCTTACCCTATCCCTCGAAATTTCTGAAAGTAAAAATCGTTTTTCTGAAATTTTTAAAAATTGGCTATAACTTTTAGTGTAAGGAATGGCCCTAGACCCAATGGGTGTAGGTCGTGAAAATGAAGTAATGTTTTGGAACCATACCCCAACTTTGCAATACCAAGAAAAATCCAATTTTTTTATCAAACTCATAAAGTTTGATTGGATTCATAAAGTCTAGTAGAATCAAATTTTTTATTAAAAATAGAAAATTTTTTGATACTTTCTCGTATCTCCCCCGCAAGTCCGTAAATATTTTTTCCGGCTCCCTCCTTTCATAAAAAGCTAAACATGGCCAAATCTCAAAAATCGTTTAATGGTCGAAGGCCTTTTTAGATAAAAATAATTTAATTTTGGCCAACCATTAGATATGAGATTAAGTATGAGAATTAGGCGAATGGATTTTATTTCCCGTATTCATTAAAGAATTTTAAAAAATTTCCAAAATTTTTATTTTGTTAACAAAATTTTTTAAATATTTTTTTTAATTAAGAACATATGTATCTTTTCAATTTCAACAGTGACCCTTTACATTCTTGTGTTTCTACTTCAAAATCCAGTTGCAGAATTGTGAAAAATACAATTAAAATTAAGTGGACATTTTAGAGAGGAAAAAATTTATTTTTTAATGCTCAAATCCAGTAATTTGTAATTATTTTTTAAATCCGAAAAAAAACTTTAAAAGTATCTTGTAAAATTCCATATTTTTACAATTAATTGAACTATTTTTAATTGTTTAAAGTATTTTTTCAATAATAAAAATTCCAATTTTAAAAACGTACGCTACGTACAACCATCAGCCATCGAAAAACGTAAGCCCACTCTCTAATAGAAGCCCCTATCTAATATGTATAAGGTGTATATATTAGCAAATGATTGCTTGAAAGTTGGGCACGAATAAGAAAGGAAGAATTGGCCTCTCAAAGCGATCCATTGAAAATAGAAGCCCAGGGCTTTAATTAAAGCATTTACAGTAGTTTAGATTTAAAATCTTTAATTCCTTGTTGGTCTCTACCACAGAATCGGACGTTTCCTGTCTTTAAAATCAGAACAACAACAAAACTCGAAAACAGGGGATTTTCTAGATGGAGGTCGTCGCCTTCCAGCCTTCCCTGTTTGCCTCTCTTTATTAACTACTTTTGTTTCTGGTATTGGTTTGCTTGGAGTACCCGCCGAAATTTATACTTAAGGCTCTGGATTGTTTATTTATACAATGGCTGGAACTATCTTCATTCCGATTTTTTATAAAATTAAGGTAAATTTTGAAGATTTTTCTGGTAAATTTAGGAATAGTTGCTAACAAACACTCGAGAACATTTTGAAAATATGACCCGTCTTTTTTTCAATATGAAAACAAATAATTCTGATTTTAAAATTCTGATTTAATTTTTATAAACAAATAATTCTGATTGAAAAATTAAAAATTCTAATTTAAAAATAAAAGCACAATTAATTCTGATACTTAAAAATTCTGTTTTAAATACATGTTGCTTAAACATAATTATTCGAATTCTGAAACAAATATAATTTTGATTAATTCTGATTTAAATTAAAAATCAGAATTATTATTAACATTGTTTTAAAATAAAAATTCTGATTTTTGTATTTCTTTCCAAACAACTACATATATTAATTTACAGCTTATAATGTTTGCCCTCGTCGATTTCGGTGTTGTTGGTATTTTTCTAGTCCTTTAACTCCTTGTTGGTCTCTACCACAGAATTTGACGTTCCCTCACTTCAAAATCAGAACAACAACAAAACTCGAAAACAGGGGATTTTCTAGATGGAGGCCGTCGCATTCCAGTCTTCCCCGTTGGCCTCTCTTTAACCACTTTTGTTTCTGGCATTGGTTTGCTTGGAGTACTTGCCGAAATTTATACTAAAGGCTCTGAATTGTTTACTCATACAATGGCTGGAACTTTAGCCTTTCCAATTATTGGAATTTTCTTTATTCCGATTTTTTATAAAATTAAGGTACCCCTATTGCCCTAACGAAATTTACAAAAATTTTAAATTTAGTGCCTCAATGCCTACGAATATTTTGAAATGAGATTTGACAGCAGAACACTCCGAAGGATTGCAACACTAATTTTTACATTAAACACGCTCATATATATGGCTGTAATAATTTAGTGCATTTTAAAATAGAGTTGTTTCCCGTATTCGGGTAGGCACCATGAGGGGGAGGAAGGAAGCAGTGGAGGGATCAGCTTACTTGATACCTCTAATTTAAATTAACCTCATTATAAGATTTAATTTTTCTGTCCTAATAGAGTACTTTAAAGTAAATGAGTGGTCTCATTTGCCTCTCATTTAATCTTAAAAAATTCAAAATAAAGGTACTAATCTACGCCCCATCAATAGCCCTGTCTGGAGTAACCTCACTTCCATTATGGCCATTTATGTAGCTCCTTGTAGGGGCAGTTTCGACATTTTACACGGATGCTGGTGGGATTAAATCGTTATTTGGTGAATAAATAGAATTAAAGTTTTTAAATTAAAAAAATTAAGGACAGACACCCTCCAAGCATCTTTTATTTATCTGGGGCTTGGCATAATTATTATTAAAGGAACGATTGAAGCAGGTCAGAGCTTAGAGACCTATAGATTGAAAAAAATTTTTTAAATTTTCTGGAAAATTTGTTGAAAAATCTTCAAGATATTTTTAAAAAAATTTTTTAGAAAATTTTGAAAATTTATTTAATTTATTAAAAAATTTTTTAATTTATTAAAAAATTATTAAAAAATTTTCTAGTATTGTTCAATGCCTTCATTAAAACATGCTCATCGAGTATTAAATTTAACAATTCCAGCTAATGTGATTATACGTTAGTTTCTGAATTTTATCTCTCAAATAAAAAATTATAAACAGAATTAATGATCGCGTATATCGGATTTCTTATGGTCGCCTTCTTCCCAGGCTTGTGATCCTGTAGCACTTAACGAAGTTAAAACAATTGAGACTATTTTAATAGCTAATAGAATTTTTGGTAATTTATTTGTAACAGATAATAAATAGGACAAATTAATGATAAATGCCCTCAGGCAATGTTTTTATTATGGGTATACCTGACCTAATATAATCCTATCAAGCGATTCTAGTGTTATTCGATGCAGACCGATAAGACGCGTCGAATAATATTTAATATGTAAATTTAAAATTAAGTTTGAAGAATTTAAATGAAAGGACCTTTAATTATAGAGAGCCTCTCTAATAAAAGTACTTTTTGAAAATAATTTTTCTATATATTTTTCAGTATTTTAGCAACATCAATGGCCTTTGCCTATTCCAACTTTGGGGGCATCTTCCAAATAATTTTAACAACATTGGATACAATCTCTGGTCCTTTAGTAGGCCTCTTCTTCCTCGGAATATTCTTCTCAAAAGCAAACAAATTTCGTGCCTTTATTGGATTAACTATTGGAATATTTGTGATGATAATTCTCTGCATACTTTCAAATATAAATCAGCCTTATAAAAAATTTTGTTATTACAACTGGGAATTTAAATACAAAAATATTCCATTATACGTCTGTGGGGTTTTTAAATAATGATGAAATGAAAACTTAAAGAGGAAGTTAAAGTGATTAGTTAAATTAATGGAA